ATGATATTGAGCCCCACGTCGGACTCCACCCTAGGCATGGAGCCTGCTTAAGATTCTTTCTCCCTCTCCTTTTGCCCCTCCCCCCCTAAAAAAAATAAAGGCCCTCATACGACTATTATCTTTGCAGGGGAAAGCTGTATGCACAAAAATCAATGTGTTGAATTTAATGAAATGAACAAAACTTGAGTTTATGTAACATTTTATAGGTTATAAAGTCTTCTAATGCTGCCTTTTTAATTTTCAGTTTCTCTGTGCCTTTGCTTGTTTCTGCCCCAATTCCTAAAAATCTCTTTCCTCTTCTAGCCTGCTGGTTGCAGCCTATTCTTTAAACAGCTTTATTGAGATATAATTCACATACCACATAATTCATCAATATAAATTGTACAATTCAGTGGTTCTTACGATAATCAAAGTCGTGCAACCATCACGATAGTCAGTTTTAGAACATTTACCTAAAAAGAGGGGGGCACTTGGGTGGCTCAGTCGGTTAAGCATCTGACTCTTGATTTTAGCTCAGGTCATGATCTCAGGGTCGTGGGATCAAGCCCCACATTGGGATCCGTGCTGAGCATGGAATCTGCTTAAGTTTCTCTCTCTCCCCCTCTCCCTCTGCCCCACCTCCTGCTTGTGCTCTGTCTCTCTAAAAGAAATTTTTAAAAAATAAAAATAAAAAGAGGGGTGTCCGGGTAGCTCAGTGGGGTTGTATGTAGACTCTTGATTTCGGCTCAGGTAATGATCTCAGGGCTGCGAGATCGAGCACCACATTGGGCTCTGCACTCAGCAGGGAGCTTGCTTGAGATTCTGCCCCCCCCTTCATCTGCTCTTCCTCGCTGTCTCTAAAATAGTAAGTAAATAAATCTTAAAAATAAATTAAAAAATTAAAAGAAATCCTGGGGGCACCTGGCTGACTCAGTCAGTAGAACATTGTTGATCTCAAGGTCATGAGTTCAAGCCCCACTTTGGGCATGGAGGCTATTTAAAAATAAATAAATAAAAAGAAATCCTGGACTCATTTAGCAGCCACGCCCCATTTCCTTCCTAACCTCCCTAAGCTGTAGGCAACCACCAATCTACTTTCTATCTCTGTAGATTTGCCTATTCTGGATATTACCTTTTTTACCTTAAAGTGACCTTGGGGATTAGGAATTCTTATCTTTGAAGCTCCTAATCCCTAAATGGTGGGGCTTCTACGGGAAGAGCTGTGATCTGTGATCGAATAGAAGGGGAGAGAAATGGAATTTGACAACTGCTATATACCAATATATAGTCTTTATTTTCACAACCACCTTTCAAGGCCCATTATCATTTAACAGTTGAAGAAACTGAATTCCATAGAAATTAAGTAACTTGCCAAAGGTTACAAAGTAGTAACAAACCAAGGGTGTAAACCTTGCTTTCCCAACTAGAGCTCATTGTCTTCTTTCCACTAGATAAGTGATTCTCAAACTTGGGTGGGTGCTTAGAGGTACCTGGAGGGCTTATCAAACACAGATTGCTGGGCTCCACACACAGAGTTTTGGATTCTTTAGCTGTGTGGGGATGGGGTCCCAGCTTTTGTATTCCCAGCTGCTCCCGCTGCTGGGGTTTGAGACAGCTTTATCATGCTGCCCACAGTATCTGAGAATGTACCTAAGATCACAGAGCGAAATGTAAGCAGATCTTCAATATCATCTGGTCATCTTTTCAGAACAGTATTTATGATCTGTCCAAGCAATTACTGATTGATAAAAGGCAATACAGGCAACTACAATGTTTCGGAGAGAAACTAAAGTTTGATAACCTTTCTTTTTTCTGGTTTGGAAATGGGATAAGCAATTAGAGAATTAACCATGGTTTGTGAAGCACCCAGAGGTAGAACTTTTCCGATGGAGACCAAACATAGTGTTCCTTGCCTAGTTCGGACCTACAGCCACTTAGAGGGAGGGCAGGCAGACGAGGACCGTGAGCAGAAATGTCTCTTGTTCTTTGACTATAGCTGCACGCTCATGCTGACTTCATCCCCATATGTTAACTAGGCCGGAACTTGATCAGACGGAAATCTGTATAGAAACGAAAATGATCACAGATACCGAGAAAATAATATTTCCTTGAATCTGTTCTAACCCTGGATTTTATTGAACATGTTTGATTTTTTTTTTTCCTGGTGGGAGGGGAAGGAGGACAGTTAGAGATCCTTTAATTCAGAATCTGCAGTGTAATTGCTATAGGAGACTCAAACGTGATTTGAACATCCCCAGCAATGGGATTGGTGACCAGGCTCCTGAGTGAGGATGACACAGCACAGGGAATAGCACAGACAGCCTGGCTGGCTTTATAGAGAACAGAGACACAAAAGTCCTTGTCGAGGTCAGCAGTACTCAGAATACTCTTAATTTAAATGGACTTGGGTAACTTCCTTACCTGTAGGTAAGGCAGCCCTAGGGACAAAAGAGAGTGAAAACAGGGAGTGCGGGAGTGCAGCGGGATGTCCTTGCTAATTAGGCCTTACCTTTGTATAGACATTTTTTTTTTTTTCAGGACACTTTTATGTATATTAACTTATGCACAGAGGTCAAAATTATTAAACAAGGTACAGAAAGGGTGCCTGGCTGACTCAGTACAGAATGTGACTCTTTATCTTGGTTGGGGTTGTGAGTTCAAGCCCCACATTGGGGGTAGAGATTACCAAAAAAAAAAAAGATAAATCTTTAAACAAGGTACAGATAAGTTTAATGGGTTAGCTCAGTTAATGAGTTGGTTCAACTAGGTAATAGATGCACATACAGGACTAGCTGTACAGTCACTTGGAATGCCGGGAAAACAAAACATTCGGAAATAAGAGTAGTAACCATGTAAATACCATCTAGGGAATACCACCTTTCATTCCAAAATGGTGGCAGTGAAGTTTACTTGTTGGTACTTTTTGACCTTTTCCATATTCTTCATTTGTTCATTCAATACAGTGAACACGTATTGAATGTTTCCTACCTGCCTGTCATTCTGCTCAGTTAGCCCTGGGAATGTAGAAATGAGACATGGCGTTTCTTCATTTGTTCAACAAATATTTGCAAAGGCCCTACCAGTGCCAGAAACTGTTTTAGATGCTGGGAATACAGTAATTAAAACAAACACCCCCCCCCAAAACCAAGAAATGTATATAAGCCACTTCAGACTAACCAGGTAAAGGCAAATAAATACTCCAATAAAAATGTTGTGCTGTATAGAGGGATGGGTCGATGACTAGTGTGATAAGTATGGTACAATGTTCATGGTAGAATCCAGATGGTTGTTATATCAGTGTTTATTGTAAAATATTTCAGTGTTTGAAAATTTTTATGATGAAATATCATGGGAAAAAAGCTAGAGAAAGAAGGAAGGTGGGGATTTGGGAAAAGTTCATCGAGGATGTGGCATTCTCTTATCCTCCTGTTCTTTCTTTAGCTACCTGATACCCCCTTAGCTCTGGGTCCATCGAATTGTCCAAGTTCCAACAGGCTTTATCTTGGGCTCTAAAGAGCTCTGCAAAAGTCCTTGAAGACTTAGATCTCTTTAGTGGAGAAAAGACGTTGGGGAGAAGAGGCAGCCTCCTGAATCAGCTACAACCCACCCACCCAACAGCCCTGTGGTAAGGCACCCTCCTTCTAGCTGACCTCTCCCAACCAGTGAGCCACTCCCTCCATCTTAGCCTCCTGTCTGAGCTTTTGTGGAGTTTGATTTTGGATGGAGACACAAAATATGTCAGAAGTGAAAAGAACATTGTGCTTTCTAACCTTAATTTTCTTTAGCAATTTTTTTTTTCAAAATAATTCTGAATTTAAGGTAACTAAGTTTGAAAAGAATGCTGTTGACTTCAACTCTCTTTTAGCCTGTAGTAGCCAGTCAGCTCATCGGTTCCAGATTCACAGGGGCAGAGACTGGAAGCTACCCATCTAATCCTACCTCTCCCCCCGTACCCCAACAAAAGTTCCCTTTGGGGTGCCAGCTTTGTAGGGGCCTCTTTTCTTCCAACTCTTACATAGGGCCCAGACTGTGCCAGCAGCTATTCTAAGAACTTTAATATAACTATTCATTTAATACAACAATCCTAGGATAGAGTGGCCATTATTATTCCCATGTAACAGATGAGAACACTGAGGCACAGGGAGATTATGTAACTTGCTGGTGGAACTGCGTGTGAATGGAGAAATCTGCCTTCAGAGGTGGGGGCTGCTGAGTCACCAGTGGATCCTGCCTTTCTAATCAAGTGACTAATTGCCCATCTCTGAATGAAAAACCAGTTCACTTAAAGGTATTAATGGGTCAAAATGGCATTATTATTTTAATGTTTCCACAAATCCTAATTCCACAGGAACCTCAGTATTTGTGATTTCAAACTATGGTTTGAAACTGCCTTGCTTTTTGGAGGGAGTGTGCCCTTCAGATACCCCCCCCCATTACCCTTCTCTAGGGACAAGGACTCTAGGGAGTCGCCTGCTAAGGAGGATGGTGTTTCCAAGAGAGGAAATATTGAAAGCCAGCGTCTGACATATTTTGGCAAACGGGAGGGGGAAAATTTTTCATTTGGGGAAAACACAAGTTTTTAGCCTGAATAATGGGCAAATGACATTAACTCTTTGCTTCGTCTTAATCTTCCCTGCTTGTTCGAATTTTGCTTCCCAAACCTGGGGCGCTGGCATTCTGCCCTGGTAGCTTCGTATCCCCTTTGAAAGAGGGGGTAGCACACCCGATTAAAGCGCCGAGCGCGTGTTTGCCTTCCGTCGGTCAGCCGGAGGTCGCCGGGGAAAGGGTTAACCGGGCGGGTTGGGGGGGAGGGCCGGGCTCACACCTCTCCGGGAGACCTCGGGCGGCGGCGGCGGGGCCCGGGAGGGGCGGAGGCTGGGGCCGGCCGCCTCGCCGCCTCCGCCTCGGCGAATAGCAGCGCGCTGCCCGCCCGGATTGGAGCATTAGCATCACGCTGACCTCCGCCTGGGCTGTAAACCGAGCCGGCCGCTGCGGGCAGAGGCAGGCTCTCGGCGCCTCCGAGAAAGGCAGCCCTACGGCCGAGCTCCGGGCGGCTCGCAGGGACCCGGGCAGCGCCCTGCGGCGGCTGCGGGGCAGCGGGGGAGCCCGACGCGGGCGCGGGCGGGGAACGTGCGTCCGTCGGCAGCAGCGGGAGGAGGGGCGGCGCCAGCCATGGCCGGGGACAGCGAGCAGACCCTGCAGAACCACCAGCAGCCCAACGGCGGCGAGCCCTTCCTGATCGGCGTCAGCGGGGGCACGGCCAGCGGCAAGGTACGGCGGGGGTCGCGGTGCCGCGCTCCCGGGCCTGGGGCCGGGCGGCGGCGCATGTGGCGCGGTCGCGGGCCGTGTCAGTTGCTGCAGCCACCGCGTGGCCCGCGCGCCTCCGCTCCTGGCCGCGCTCCAGCGCCCGGTCTTCTCCGCGCCGACTGCGGGCCGGCCGGCCGGGCGGGGATTCCGGTCATCGGGGTCCCAGGGTGCCGCCGACCCCCGGTCGCGGGGCTGGCGCGCTCCCGCTCGCCCTTTTTCTCCGCTGCGGTAACTCGTGGCCCGGCTCCTATGGGGGACCAGCTGGGAAAGCGGATGCTTATTGTTTTGCGGGTCCGACGGTGGGGGAGAGGGCTTTAGGCAGGGTCGCCGGCGAGCCCCCGATGCGCCCCAGCCCCGCCTGGAGGTCCCCGGTACCCAGGATGGGGCGAGCCGGGGAGCCGGACCTGGAGGGCTGCGAGAGCGCGCGAGGCGGCGTCCCGGGGACGGCAGCCTGTCTTGGGCTGGGGATTGCAGGGCTTTCTGGGGAAAATCCTGAGCGCCAACTAGGGTGCGGTGACATCAACGAAATGCTAATAGCAGGGGCTTCTGGATTTTTATGGTTATAAGAGGAAACGTGGCCGGCTTCAAGGAGAAAGTTGTACTGGCTCCGTGCTCCTCGGTGTCCGGGGCTTACGCGTCTTGGGTCCACCGAAGGGGGTCATCGTCTGGGTGTCCGACTCCCCTACGTGCCTCTCTTTGTTTTATCAGCAAGGCAAGGAGAAACTAGGGAAATGCTCTTTTAGCTTTATCCCGGGCTTTTTCTGCAGGTGGGGAAGGGTGGAGTCCTCCCAGATGTTTCTTTCTCGGCCCCCCCATGCTGCCTTTAAGGTGTGGGTACTTGTTTCCTTGGGCGTTTAGCAGCTTCGGCTCGCGGTGGGAGCACGGGCTCCTTCCTGCAGGGGAGCCTGCGAGCTGGGGCCGTGCGCGCCGCGTCTGGCGACGTGGGATGCTGCCTCCCAGGGCCCGGGAGCGCGGAGCAGGAAGGCTGCTTGGCGCCATGAGGAGCGAGCCACGAGGTTCTCGCGCCCGAGCTGACTCCTCCCGAGCCCCTCCTCCATCTTGGCCTCGCAGTTTCCCCTCCAGGTCCCGACTACCTGGGCGCGTGGGGCCCAGATCCGGCGGCTGGCGCTCTGAAACTTCTTTCTAGATCAAGTTAATCTCGTCTCTCTAGCTCCCGGGGCTAGGAATCTGGCCGCTTCAGGTCCCAGAAGCTGATGTGGCATTTGCCCCGGGCTGAATGCACCCCCCCCAATTGTTCTCTGTTCTCTGCTCATTCTGTTACTCGTAATTAAAAAACAAAACCACGATGTCAGCTCTTAGGAAGTTTTCCCTGTTCTCTTAGGATTATCCTTGCTCTCTTTTTATAGCATATGCCTGTTGCATGGGACGTTTTTGTTGTTCATGGCTGTATTCCCAGCACTCCTAGCATGATGTCTGACACAGTTGGTCCCAAATATTTACCTGAGGTCCGGTCTTCCTGGGGGGAGGGAGACTTAAAACTGGCAGATGAGTGTGGCATTTAGAAACAATGTCCTTGGCAGTAACCTAAATGATAAAGTCACTGCGGAGGGGGAAACTGAGACCCTAAAGGGGGAAATAAGTCCATTCTCTTTATTTTTGTGGCCCTGAGTCGTCACCTGGTCGCAGTTGATACTAAGTGTAAGTCCTAAGTGTTAACTGCTATAATGTGTCAAATGGGAGCTAGTGGTTAGCCATGATGTGAGTGGTAAGCGCTGTCCCTGGGGTTCTCATCAAGGAGGAAGATTATAGAAACTCTCAAGAAAGGATCTGTCTTAAAAACCAGATTCTTGTATTTCCTCCAAAAGGACAGGTCTAGGGAGAGCAAGAAGTCAGCTGGAAGAGAAGAAAAGCAACAGTGTAAAGCATGTTGTACACCTTCGGCACTGATAAATACTAGTCATTGTTTTAAGATTATTTTAATCATTTTTTTGTTGCTGTTGTTAAAAAAGGTCCAAAGGAGCATTGGACTTCTGTAATTCCATATTGTAGTCCATTTGCTGCAATTCTATCTTGGTTCTCTTATTCCAGTCCTTAGTGCCTTTCCTGCAAGGAATTCAGATATTCAGGGTTTTTTTTTTTTTCTTTTAGAAGATGATCAGCATCAACAGGCTGGACCTCCTTTGGCAGTCTGAGCATAGTAGGGCAAGAGGATCTGGAAGCAAGATTGATCCTCTGCTCCCTGGGTTTTTATTATGCGCCTGTTAAAAAGAGAATTTGGAAGAAGCCAAAGGATCTAAGAACATCATCAAAAATGACAATTTTAGACCTAGAAGGCACCTCAGAGTCTCTGGAGTCCAACACAGTCTCATCACTTATAGATGAGAAAAATAATGTATCCAGGTCATATATTTAGTGGCGGAGCCAGTTTCTAGTTTCTAGACTGGTGCTGTTCATTCCCTGCTGTTGCCTTGTTGAGGAAGAATTGACTAATAAGGAAAAATAAGACTTAAGGTACTGGGGGGCACGGAGGGACACATGTTTACAACCTTCACCTTGGAAAGGGGCTGCTTGCAAATGGCTGTGGAATGATTTCAGAAGTACTTGATCCAAAGGGAAATGGAAATGCAGATTGGGCCCAGCCCTGTAGATCTTGATTGTTCTCCCCCCCAATCCCTTCTTTCTAAGAAAAAACAACACCCTGTTCAGCTTCTCTTGATGGCTCTAAAATGTCTCAATGTTGTGGCTGCCCTAAGTACAAGTATTGTCTCTCAGACTAAATTATTTTGGTTGTGCAAGGCAAAAATAGTGATTGCAGCTCTGTATATCACATTTTTTAAATTTGTTTTATAGGTGAAGATGAATTAGAACTTGAGAGTAAGCCTTGCCAGGCTGACATGGCAAGTCACGGTTAGAAACTCATCTCAAAACTGTAGTAGGTTGAGAAAGTTGTTCTGATCTGTGTTAAAAACCAGGTTCTCGTGTTTCCTCGGAAAGGACAGGTCTGGAGAGAGAGCAGGAAGTCACTGGAAGAGGGAAAAAGTAAACTTCTCTGCCTGCGTCTATGTCCATGACAGTGGGGGCCATTCCCTCTCCTCCTTGCTGTGACTTCTTCCCCAGACGATGAAAATAGCTTCTCAGTCTGCTCCTTCACACTGCCATCAGAGTGGGCTTCCTTAGCTGTAGTTCTGACTGTGTCACTGTCCTTTCTGGAAACCTTGGGCCACTCTCCATCACCCAGACTGCCGGTCAAATGTTTCAGCACACAGTGCACATCCCCTTGACCCCCATTATTCCCCACCCCCCAACCCGAATGCACACAGACACATCTCTGGAACTGCCTTCACTTACTTTTGCTCTGGGTCTTCTCCAGAATGACCTATAATCCTTTTAAGCCTTCAGTTCTGCAAATACTTGCTCCAGGGAACTCTGTTATTCATTTCCTCAGTCAGAATTGTTTTGTGTGTCTAATGCTTCCCTAGTTATACTGCAATTTGCCTTGCAGTATGGTTGCCTTGTAGTGTGGCTACCCGTTGACTACTTCCCACACCCTAATGGAAGTTCTATAAGAGCATCTCACGTATTTATTTGAGCCTTATTTGGGTGTTTGATATGGAGCATTGGTGTTTGGTGTGTGTTGAACTGAGTTAGGCAGGCCAAAATTTGTATTACTCTTTTATTATTTAATTCATAAGACTATTTGAATTAGGATTTGAGGCCACAGTGGAAACCCTGTTTAACTCTGTTACTCATGTTGCAATGACCCAAATATAAAAAGCTCCCCAAACGCTAATACATTGGTATTGCTTATTCAGAGCCTGGTATTTATTTAATATGTACTAAGTAGGTACTTGTTGAATGAATGTCATTGTGTGAAATACTGTATTAAGTGTTTAAAAAAAAAGATTTTATTTGTTTGAGAGAGAGAGAGCCCATGCACGGGGGTGGGGGGGGAACGGCAGAGGGAGAAGCAGACTCCCCACTGAGCAGGGAGCCCAACGCGGGGCTTGATCCCAGGACCCTGGGATCATGACCTGAGCCGAAGGCAGACGCTTCACCGACTGAGCCCCCCAGGCGCCCTGTATTAAGTGCTTTTGAGGAGAAGTCGGGATTTGAGGATACTTGGGAGGAAAAGTCTCTGTTCGTATTTATAGTTAAAACTTGCTTAAACCAAGCAGTTTATCTTTTTTTTTTTTAAGATAGTTTCTCTCCATTTTTTTTTTTGAAGTAATCTCTACTCCCAATCTGGGCTCGAACCTACAACCCTGAGATCAGGAGTTGCATGCTCCACTGACTGAGCCAGCCAGGTGCCCCTAAGCCAGTTTACTTTTAAATCCTTGGATTATCTCTTCCCTTCGAAGTCAGACAGGTGTGTTTCCCATTGATGGATAGCAGTGGAAGATGAGGTTAGGAGAGTTTTTGACTTGCCTGACCTCACGTGGCTGGTAAGTGATACTTCTTGGATTGGAATCCAGATTTTTCCTTTCCTAAATCTGTGTCTGTTCTGAGCTGTCTTCACAGGCAGCAACCAGTCCTCTGAGGTATTTTGGGGGAGGTCGGTCTGACTGTGTATCAGTAAGACAGACCAAGAAAGGAAAACTGCAGTCCCCTCAGAGGTGTGGGCTGTCACCTCAGCTCTGCTTGGCCGTGACTCAGCATCTGCTTTGGAGTACTCTGGAATGTGCTGTGGGCCCGCGTCTCCTTGGCTCCATCACCCTGTTCCTGAGACCTCAGCAGCCATCCCCATCTGGCCAGGTTGTTCACTCCACACTGTCCTTCTGTAGGTACTTCGAGAACCACGGGACTGGTTTGGTCCTGCTGTTTTTCTCAGAGACCACCCCGAACTGCTGCCATGGCCATCAAGGCCTTGTGTGATCTGGCGCTGCTGACCTCTTGCCCCTCTCCCCCTTTGCTCTCTCTCTTGCAGCCATATTGGCTGCCCAGCATGCCTGGCTTTCCCTCTGCCCCAGGAATACTGCTGGGTCTGCGGGAAATTCTCCTATTCC